CCTTATTTTTCTTCTGTTTTTTCCCCCTTCTGTTCTGTGTATTATGTTAGCTTCCTTCAGTGGTTGGCCCGGTTTCAGCCCACTGTCACCCCAGGTTTTTTGGATGCTGTTTTGCTGTGAATTTGCCTCAACGCAAACACTTGAGAAAATCCGGAGTGGCTGACAAATGTGGAAAGGACCAAAGTGTGAAAAAGCAGGTTGCTTACCAGTAACTGGTGATCTTCGAGTGGTTATCTGTGCATTCACACCCATGGGTTTAGTGCGCACGCGCTGAACTGATCGTTGCTGTAGCAAGCTCTATTCTAGAGGATTTTTGCGCCGAGCCCCACTGGGCATGCGCAGGAACCCCACTGCGCATGCCCAGAGGGGTAGGCGCGGACATCCCGCCAGTTCCTTCAAAGCACCGCCGCAAATCAACCCCAATTAAAGAATGTAGAAGCTGACAGCAGCGGGGAAGGAGGGCGGGTGGTGTGAATGCACAGATGACCACTCGAAGATCACCAGTTACTGGTAAGCAACCTGCTTATCTTCGTCGTGGTCTCTGTGCTTCACACCCATAGGAGATTAGCGAGCAGTAGGTTACCTGGAGGTGGGTGCTGGCAGGTGTTTACTGCTTAGCCAAAGATAGAATTTGACGCCCCATGTTGGTAATTATGTTCTTTCGGACGTCTAGGGCGTAATGCCTGATGAAGGTATTAGGCGTGGCCCAAGTTGAGGCTCTGCAAATGTCCGTTAACGGCACTCCCTGGAGGAAGGCAGTGGACGTCGCAACAGCTCTGGTGGAATGTGCCTTGATAGGTCCAGGCAATGGCTGCTTCGCAAGTAGGTAGCAGAGACGTATGAGACCTACTATCCACTTTGAGAGGCGTTGCGCTGTGATGCGGCTGCCAGGGCGTGTGGAGGCGTATGAAACGAATAACTGTGGGTCTCGTCGAATTGGCTGCGTTCTCTGAAGATAAAACAAGAGAGCCCTCTTGTGCATCATTCTGTCCTCCTCTGATCCGGGGTTCGGAAAGAAATCAGGGAGAAAGACTTCCGACTGGAGGTGGAACTCCGACACCACCTTGGGAAGAAAGCGTACTCCATCTGGTAGGAACGACAGGTACGGTGTGTCGTGGTGGAAGGCCACAATCTCTCCCACTCGCCTTGCCGAGGCGATGGCAACCAAAAAGGCAGTCTTCCAAGCCAAAAGTTTGAGCTCGCAGGTAGCAAGTGGCTCGAACGGTTTTCTTGTTAACTGGCGTAGGACCAGTGGGAGGTTCCATGGAGTAGCCGGAGGTTTCAGAGGGGGGTAGAGACGAAGCAAACCCTTTAAAAATCTTTTAGAAAGTGGATGCGAAAACAAAGTACATCCATCAACTGGAACATGGTATGCCGATAACGCGGCTAAATAAACCTTTAACGAAGAGTGGGCAAGGCCCGAGTCAGCCAAGGATAAAAGGAAAGTAAAAACTGAGTCCAGGCCAGCCGACGTGGCATGAGCGTGTCCATTGCCCAGAAAAGAACAGAACTTCCTCCATTTATAATCATATGACCTCCGTGTTTAGTTGTGGTGAGTTGTTGCTTTGCCACAGTCATGCCTTCCGTTTGTAACTGCCTGGCTGCTTGAAGTTTTTCTTCTGGAAGATGTACTAGAAGATCGGATAACCGCTCCCATAAGGTGTATTGGTAGCAGTTCATGCAGGCCAAATAGTTGGAGGCCTTAACAGCAAGAGCCCCAGTGGAGTAAAAACGACGACCAAACGCATCTAGTTTTTTTCCTTCTTTGTCTGAAGGTGTAGAGTGCATTTTCTTGGATCTTGAAGACGATGAAACGACCATGGAATTTGGCTGTGGATGGGAAATTAAAAATTCAGTCTCTGGCTCTTGTATTCTATACATATGATCAAGTTTACGCGTTGATACAGGAGCGGATGACGGCTTCTGCCATGGAGATTTTGCAGCCTGAAGCAGTACCGAAGACATGGGTAGCGCTACAACTGAAGATGTATCCAATTGGACTATATCATACAAAGAATCTGTAGACTGTGGATGAGTTTGAATGATAGAGGGCCCTAAGGAGTGGGCCATGCGTTTGACCAGATCAGTGTAGGATGTGAGGTTGTCTGACGGAGAGATTGGCAAATCTTGAAAGATATCTGGATTAGGGGAAGTATTATCCGGAGTAGTTGGAATGTCAGAGGCTTCGGAATCAGAGTCCTCTTCAGGAATATCGGAAGACTCATCTTGACCTGGGTGGACTGTGGTATCCCGTTGGTGTACGACTGGTTTTGACTGACAAGGGATAGCTGGTTTGGGGTCAGGTTTTGGAACGACCGTGACATGGGGAGGAACGACAGGAAGCTGGGGTAGACCGGGTTCCACAGGTCGTTGTGGTTGTTCATCAATTGGAGGACGTGAAACCGTAGCTGTAGGTCTCGTTCTCAAAGGAGATCTAGATCTATGAGTAGACCTGTAGGAATAACGATCCCATTCTGAGTAGTCAGCAGGAGTTAACCAAGGCATAGGAGGGTGGTAGGGACCATACAAGTATCGCATCTGTCTCTCATCCCACGACATTGGTGGTGGAGGAGGTATATACGCTCTGGGAGAACGACTTCTAGTTCTTGGGCGCCTTGGAGACAAAACAATTGTGCGTCTATGGGAATCATCCTTATAGCCGCCAGCATCGATATCGATCGTATGAGCCTGTAGAGATGGAGGACGACACTCCCTGTCCGCAAAGTGATGTCGGTGTCGACGGACGTCGGTGTCGGGAGCCTCCAATATGATCCATGCTGAAGTTGAGGGATCGGGGGGAACTCCGCACCCATCTGGTGACTTACAAGTTCCGCCTCATCGATATCGGCCGCCTCGATATCGGTACAAGCCGTCCCTGAAGGATGGACAGGGGAATCCAATATTTGTATTGGCGGTAATGGAGGAGGGACCGGAGCCTCCGATATCGGTACCACCGATGGAGCCGCTGAAGGTACCAAGTGCTTGGACTTGGCTGGCTTAGTCGTAGACTTCTTTGTGGTCTTTTGGTCCATACTTGCCTTAGCCTTCTTCTTCGTATGCGACACAGGAGAAGAGCGGCCCTTCGATCCCGAAGATTTCGATACCGGGTGCTTTGATACCGGGCGGTCAACATCAGTTGTAACTTTAGCCGCTGAATCCGCCAACGGAAGGATCGGATCTTTTGAAGCTTGAACTACTGATATTGAAGGTGGCTCCTCCATAGTAGAGGCTGGATTAAGTGCTGACTCTAGTAAGGCGACTCTGAGATGTGCTGCACGATTTTTTCTGGTTTGATTAGAAAAACGGGCGCAGTGACTACAGGATTCTGGTCGATGAGATTCGCCCAGGCAGAGTATACAGAGTTTGTGCCTATCTGGAGGAACTAGTTTACTCCTGCAGCGTTGACAACGATTGAAAAATCCCCACTTTTTCTCCATAAGCAGGAAAGTGGGCAGAAAGAAAAAATCGCTGAGAGGAATCGCTGAGGGAAAGGGAAAGGAGCGGCCCGAAGGCCTGAGGTAAAATTTTTACCTCAGGAAAACAAAAAGGTTTTTTTTTTAAACAACTGAAACCAAAAGGAAAATAAAAAGGAAAAAATCAGCTGTGAAAACAAGCTGAGGAAAAACAGTAGAAACTAACGCCAAAAGCGAAAACTACAGCGTTCTGATCAAACCTAAACAAAAAGAGGTCTTTTCAGCATGGCGGTGAGAAAGGAACTGGCGGGATGTCCGCGCCTACCCCTCTGGGGTTCCTGCGCATGCCCAGTGGGGCTCAGCGCAAAAATCCTCTAGAATAGAGCTTGCTACAGCACCGATCAGTTCAGCGTGTGCACACTAAACCCATCCTGAAGTGTTCCATCTGCACGTGTGTCACTGCACTGGAAACAATATGGATCATGTGGGAACCTCCATGAACCTCTGAATTCCAGTGCCATGAGGCAATGTCAGGGGAAGGCCTTGGCCTCTATGCCCTGGCTGTTTTCTCTCCAATATAATTGTTTGGCCAGTGTTTCAAACAAGATGCTGGACTAGATGGGCCCCTGGCCTGATCCTACAGGGCTCATGTTCCACATTCAGAGGTAGTAAGCCCCTATGCCAGGAGGCAATGTCAAGGGAAGGCCTTGGCCTGTGCGCCCTGCTGTTGGACCTCCGCTGTGTGAGACAGGATGCTGGACTAGAGGGACTATTGGTCTCTCCTTATGTGGTAATGAAGGCCTCGGCCTCTGTGCCCTGTTGCTGGCCCTCCAGAGGAACTGGTTGGCCACTGTGTGAAGCAGGTTGCTGGATCCCTGGTCTGATCCAGCAGGGCTCTTCTGATGTTCTTATGAAGGCCTCGGCCTCTATTCCCTGTTGCTGGCCCTCCAGAGGAACTGGTCAGCACCTGTGAGACAGGATGCTGGACTAGGTGGACCCCTGGTCTGATCCAGCAGGGCTCTTCTTATGTTCGTATGAAGACTTCGACCTTTATGCCCTATTGTTGGCCCTCCATTGTAACTGGTTGGCCATCGTGTGGGACAGGATGCTGGACTAGATGGACCCCTGGTCTGATCCAGCAGGGCTCCTCTTATGTTCTAATGAAGGCCTCAGCCTCTCTGTCCTGTTGCTGGCCCTCCAGAGGAACTGGCTGGCCACTGTGTGAGACAGGATGCTGGACTAGATGGACCACTGGTCTGATCCAGCAGGGCAGTTCTTGTGTTCTAATGAAGGCCTCAGCATCTATGCCCTGTTGTTGGATCTTATGAGTTTGTACTACAAAGCCCAGACCTTTCCTCTGGCTTCCTGTGCATTGTTTAAAAACAAAACAAAACACAATACCTGATAACCTTTGTCTTAAAGAAGTGACAACTTAGACATCGTTGATTTGTACAGAAAGGAAATAATCAGTACAGCTAATTCTCAGCATTGTTCTAAAAAGAAAACTAGTCACAATACGAGCCACCTACATGCAGCATCACCATTGTTTTGTTGTTTAATCTTTCTTTATTTCAATTAAAAAAATAGCTCAAAAAAATAAGACCATCAGACAAGGCAGCTCTACGTACTAAAATTTCCCCCCCTCTGGAAACATATACAACTTACTGAGCCAGAAAGATAGGGCAGATAAAATACTAAAGTATAACAAATATCTTTTTTTTTTTTTAAATTAAACCTTTCTTTTACGACTATATTAAAATGGTGGAAATAAAGTTTGTGACTTTTGTGTGTGCTGGGCACCAATTTAAAAGACAAAGCTTTCTCTGTCACGTTAAAAATGAGCGGAACCCAGCAGGAAATCCTTCAGCGCCAAGACCACGGCTAATTCGTTCCAGCAGGGCTAGTGCAGGAAAAATTCCCAACAAACTGCCCTCAGGGGCCTTTGTCTTTCGCAGTAAAATAATTTCTGTAGCTAACATGACACCGTCTTGCAAATTCTGTGTACCTTTCAGCACAAAGACCGTCTACTGGTCGCTTACGCACTGTGCAAAGTGACAAGGACATTGCTTACTGTTAAAATATATAAAAAAATGAACCTTCTGTACACCAAAAAAGTGAGGAATTGATATCTGCTCCCCTCCCGCTCCCAAATGTTGAAATTACTGAAGGAGCAATGTTTCGGAGATGGGAACTTCGACGTGTTCTCTAGTGCGCTGCAGGGATAGCAAGCTATTGCTTAGTGTTTCGTCGGCCGGCAGCCACAAGGGTGATCTCAAACGTTAGTACCGTTCCACCTCAGTGTCGGGTAAGCCCTGGTGCGAATTCCCCACGAAACCAGGGAGAAACTTCGGCTGGATGAAGACGTTGGACGGATGTTAGCAGCATAGAAAGAGGCACCCACGAAAGAAGCGTTCGTTTTGGTGTGGAGTGCAGAACGCGGATTGTTTTAGGTCGGCGGGGGTCCATTGATATAGTGCAGCATGGGATACAACGAGCGGGCGAAATTGTTTGCATGAGTGCAGCTATAGTCTTCCTCCGAAGATGGGATCATGAAGGCCAAAAGCAAGAGGAGGAGGAGCAGGAGCTGAAGGGGTAGTGCAGCTCGCAACATGCGGGAGAAGAAGGAGGGGCTCTCTGGAGCTGGGGGGCTGACCGTGCCCGTCTCCTTCACTCTGCAATGAGAAGAACAGGTTAGAACACGACTGCGGGACTTTCGTTTATTTACGGATTCAAAACAACGGGCATCCCAGGACTGGATAGGAACATGGGATTCTGATCTCACCAGTGGTGGAAAGTATCATCAAGTTGCAGAGGGCTGATGGTCACCCCGCAGGGTTTTCAGGGCAAGAGACATTCAGAGGTGGCTTAGCCATTGCCTGCTTCTGTGTAGAAACCCTGGACGTCCTTGGTGGTCTCCCATCCAAATACTGAACAGGGCTGACCCTGCTTAGCTTCTGGGAGCCCATCTAAGGTCCTTATCTTATCAGATTTCAGAAGCTATGCAGGCTTGGTACTCAGACAGGGGACCACCAAGGAAGGCCCTGCAGAGGAAGGCCATGGCACATCACCTCTGCTTCTCACTTGCCTTGAAAGCCCCTTGCTAGGGTCGCTATGAGCTGTTTGTGACTTGAGAACACATATGCACTTAGACGCATGGTGGCATCTTGCCCGCAGGAATGGACACATGTGGAATACAGCACTTTATGAAGAGCTGAATGGGAACCCCGTTACAATTCTGCTGGCAGACGGAATATGGGAAAGGAACGACTGAGTAGTACAGGACACCTGCAATGTGGAATCAACCTAAAGTCCTTGTATGTATACAGAGAGAACCTAACGGGAGTTTTAAATTTTGCAATTGTTTCCCAATGCAAAAATTCACTACTGTCTTCCTGGGACCACTCTTAAATGGAAACCTCTCTTTTGCACAAGTAAGGAAGAAATGCTAAAAATCACTAACTACCTTTTAGTCCTTCTGCTCCCGAGTTTCTTCGTTCCATCGACCTGCAGATATTTACAACATGTAATATTACTGTATTTTAAGAAATAAGAGAACACGGATAAAAATTTCAAAGTGTTTTTGACTTGTGGCTTAGCAGACGGAGGGGGAGGGTTCAGTCATAACGCCGCCTACCTGGCAAGGCAGTCCTGGACTCAAGCAGGCCCACAGCCGGGGTTTTTTTTGTTCAGGGGGCATTTAAATTTCTAAGGGGGCAGTTAAATTACAGTTAATTAAATTAATCTGAGTGCCTGTCTTTAAAGGGGGGAGGCTCGGAGCCTGTTTCTAGCCCTTCCTTTCAGGGGACAGGGCAGCAAAGACGTCAGTTCTTGGGGGGGGGGGGGGGCAGTTCAGAGGGCATTTCATTGCCTTCAGAAGGCATTTAAATGCCCTTTGGGTTCCCTTCTGGGGCAGGGGAGGAAAGAGGTCAGTTCTGGGGGGTGGGGGGAACAGTTCAGAGGGCATTTCATTGCCTTCAGAAGGCATTTAAATGCCCTTTGGGTTCCCTTCCACGGGGCAAGAAATCTGTTTCCCAGAGGATCCTGGGGATGCTTTTGAAAGACTCACCATGACCAGCATTCCCTCTAAGCTGAGTTAGTGTGAGCTAGTTCACAGTTTTTTAGCCCCCGGCTCACACATTTTTTGTCTCCGCTCAGGAAGGAGGGCTCCAGAGCAAACTGATTTATGCAGCAGCCAAATTGCTCGCTCACAACTTTCATGCCGGTAGCTCACAGAGTAGAATTTTTGCTCACAAGACTCCACAGCTTAGAGGGAACATTGGGGGTGGCCAAACTTGCTTCACGTAAGAGCCGCAGACACTTAAATGTCAGATGCTCGAGAGCCGCAAAGGGACTTCAGAGGAAGAGGCACGTTTGGGGGAGAGGCCGCGGTTTGGCCACCTCTGACCTCGGTGGTCTACAGCAGGACTGGGCTAGCAGGACAGGGGGATTGTGGGAGATGTATTGAGGGTGCCGCTCTTGAGTGCTCTTCTGGGCTCCTTGCCCTGTGGGAGGGAACTCAGAAGGCATTCAGAGGCCCTCTGAACTGTCTTTTCCTGGGTCGCGTGATGCCCCCCCCCCAAAAAAAAGACCACAGTGGGAGGGGCACAGAAGCCCCACTGCCAGCAGCATGGGGGTCTCTCCTCAAAAATAAGGTTTCTGGCCAGTGTTCCCTCTAAGCTGAGTTCGTGTCAGCTAGCTCAGTTTTTTAGCCTCCGGCTCACACACGTTTGTCTTGGCCGAAGAAGGATGGCTCCAGAGGAAACTAATGTATACAGCAGCCACATCGCTCGCTCACAACGTAGAATTTCTGCTCACAAGACTCCACAGCTTAGAGGCAGCATTGTTTCTGGCATGGCTGTTTGTGGGGCGGGGCTTTTAATTAAGGGGTTGGGGCCCCAAAATGCCCCCCCCCCCAGCTACGGGCCTGGACTCAAGGTTAAGAATCACTGGACTAAATTACAAGAAAACGTGTATGTAGAGAACAGCCACATAGCTGCTCACCTTTTTAGAGATGCGAGCGATCTCTGGTTGCGGCAGATGGCCTCCAGAGTCCAGTTCGTCCAAACCTGGTAGAAATGGACTTAGCTCCTAAAATAAGATAAAGGGGAAAAAAAAGTTTCGCATGGAATTACACCTCCGTCTCTCATGGGAGTTCTTGACTATCTTAAAAAAAAGGTGTGAATCTATTTTCGGCCAAAACCAGCAGAACTCCACTCAGCCCCACCTGGCTGCCCCGCGCCACCTTCAAGTCACGGGAAACCCCTTCCAGAAGCTGCTTCAGCTTCTTCCCAATGATGTGGACTTTCTCATCCGCTTCAATGTATTTCTCTCCGTCGGATCTGGCGAGCAAGTACGTGGAAATCTCCTGCAGGGCGTGGACTTGAAGCTGCCGTTCCAGGAGTTCTTTTTCGAGTTGCTTAGACAAAAACAAACAGTAGCTGGTGTTAATGAAGAAGAAGAAGAGATCGGATTTATACCCCACCCTTTACTCGGAGTCTCAGAGTGACTGACAATCTCCTTTCCCTTCCCCTCCCTACAACAGACACCCTGTGAGCAATGCTCCCTCTAAGCTGTAGAGTCTTGTGAGCAAAAATTCTACTCTGTGAGCTGCTGGCATTAAAGTTGTGAGTGAGCGATTGGGCTGCTGCATCAATTAGTTTGCTCTGCAGCCATCCTTCCTGAGCTCAGACACAAATGTGTGAGCCGGGGGCTAAAAAACTGTGAACTAGCTCACATTAACTCAGCTTAGAGGGAACACTACCTGTGAGGTAGGTGGTGCTGAGAGAGCTCTTTCCAGAATAGCTCTGACAGAACTATGGCTTGCCTAAGATCATCCAGCAGCTGCAAGTGGAGGAGTGGGGAATCAAACCTGGTTCTCCCAGATTAGGGTGCGGTCACACTGTCCCTTTATCGGGATTCGCTGCTGTCTCCTCCCGCATTTAAATTTTCTGTTCACATGCGCCAATCCGCCTCCGGCGCCAAAGCAGGCTCACTCTCGCAATGCTCGCAGGTTTTCCTGACCCCGGGAAAATCGAGTACTTTCCTGGATCTTGCGCTTTGAATGCACGATTTCACCTATGTGGACAGCCCGCTTTCGCAATGAATACGAATAGAGCCATCTGACCGCTCTCTGTAGGTTTTTTTTTTTAAAAAAAGGTTCCGGTTTGAACGCATGGGCATACATGCGCTTAATAAATCCATTTTTTTTAAAAAAAAAAATGTCAGTGCTTACAGTGGAGGCGGGAATGAGAGGTGGGGGCTCCGGCAGCCTGGACAGGGGCGGCAAGGAGGTGGTGGAGACGGCACCCTTCCTGCTGGGGCTCAACCTCCTGGCCGCCCAGAAGCACCGGGAGAAGGCGCGCCAGGCTGGTGGCAACTGGGCCAATGGCAAGGACGGCCCCACAGCTGCCCTGGGGCGGCTGCCGCGGCCGCCAGATGGGGGTGAGGGGGACGGCCAGCAGCCGGTAAGGGGGATGGCTCTGTAGACATCCAAACCCGCAGCAAAATATTCCCGTTGAAATTAAAGCGGGAACAAGGCGCAATTACCGTGCCGTGTAACCACAGCCTAGAGTCCGCACGCTTAACCACTACACCAAACTGACTGAAACAGACACAGCCCAGCCCAGTGGCTTCGAAGAAGGTGCTGAGGATAAACTGCACTTGCAGAAGCCTCCCCGCCCCCCTCCAAGCCATGAGGCGCTGTGAACAATGAAGCAGGGACTTGGGGGCCAAAACTTGCAATTAGAGTCCAGGTTGAAAGTTTGTGCTGCACCCAGGGTTGCCAGGTCCATTTGTTGCGCCGGTGGGGGGATTTGGGGGGTGTTTTGGGGGTGGGCAGTTACATCATCGGCGACGTTGGGGGCAATGCTCTGCCTTTTGGGCAAAACTCTATGGTAAAAATGGCAAACGACCCCTGTTCGCCTCATGCCTTGAAAACCCAACAGTTCACCCATAAGTTGGCTGGGACTTGACGGATGCGCTAGCCTGTTTTAAACCTACCATCAATTCTTTCCGACTCTCCTGTATTACGTGGGGATCGGCATTCGGATCCTTAACCCGTGCTTGATGCCGCCGGGTCTCGGCACTGGCCAGCCACAGCAACAGTTTCTGGTTCACCTCGTGGAAGTCCTGCAGAAGCAAGCGCTTGGGTGTTATGAAAGACACAGACAGACCATGCAATGCAACCCAATGCTGGGGCAGACAGACTGGGCTAGGAGAATGCCACGGGGTTAGAGCCACCGATCTGTCCTACTAAGGGTGACCCCCCCCACCCTTTCTAGAGTCGTTCCCTGGAGGCGGGAGGCACAAAGGTCAGAATGGCAAAGATTATCTATGGAGGTGGAAGTGGGCAATGTGGTTTCCATTCTGCCTGTTTATGGTGGAAGGACACTCAAACATCAAAAATCTTTATTATGGTCCACGACCAGAATACTAAGATTAACAAAAAAAACAATCGAAATAAAAGATATAACAAATCTTGCCGCTAGTACCTGGCAACAAGGACGAACACTAACTCACAATATTAAATCGCGGTCCAGTCAGGTCAATGGATACCATAGAACAGTACTTCATCAAGCCAATGCCTGTCTTCTAACAAGGTAAAGGTTTCCCTTGCTCAAAAGCCAGTCGAATCTGACTCTAGGGATGCGGTGCTCACCTCCATTTTCAAGCCGAAGAGCCGGCACTGTCCGAAGACGTTTCCGTGGTCATGTGGCCGGCATGACTAGACGCCGAGGTGCACGGAATGCTGTTACCTTCCCACCGAAGTGGTACCTACTTATCTACTTGCAATTTCTTGCTTTCAAACTGCTAGTTTGGCAGGAGCTGGGACCAGAGATGGGAGCTCACTCCGTCATGCGGCACTCGGGTCTTGAATTCCTGAACTACCGATCTTCCGGTCTGCAGTTCAGCGTCTTAACCACTTGAGCCACCGCAGTCCTACCATTTACAGCTAACTGACAGCAAATGTAGAAGGCTGCACAATCCCCAATAAAGTCACTCTGAGCTAACAGTTTTTCCATCTTCATAGGCTGGCGAGATCTGAATAGAACGAAGTTTAATCACTTGAGAGCAAAACCTGGCTACTTGCCGAGTTGTCTCAGTACACGCGTCGGATACTCAAAGAACAGCTGTTTTCTTCTAACGTGCATAAACGCTTCTGTGCAACTACTGGGGAATGATGCAAATTGCGGAGTTCGAGCGGCGCTCTAACAAGCAACAGTGCTGCTTGCATAAGAAAACAAAGGCAGCCAGCTGCGTCTCTACTGACCTGGGAACGCATCAGGGAGTCTTGCATGCCCTTCCTCCAAGTCCCCAGTAAATGATTGGCCTTTTCCCAGCGCAAGTTGACCCGCCGGAGTCGGTTCTGAAGTTCTTTGGACTCGGTGCTGTCTGCTTGCTTGAAGTCTCTGCTGGTCAGGTTGACAGACAGCATGAGGGCTCTATAGTTGTCAAAGGCCTTGAGCATCTCCTGGGGAGGACAGAAGCAGTTATAGGAGGCCGGGTAAGGCAACAGGGGCACGGCAAGAGGATGGGGAATCTTGGTTGGACAAATTCATTTGGGGAAAAGGCCTGGAGCAATTCCCCACCCCCCACTGCTTTCAGTTTCTGCTGGAACTAGCTGCCTTTTCCGGAGAAGGAGAAGAAGAAGAGTTGGATTTATAACCTGCCTGTAATGATTTCATGTTTAACTGTGTGTGTGTGTGTGTCTTTAAAAGTTTGGTTTGCATGGCTGTGATGATAATCTAGAGTGCTGGAATCAGGCAAGTGATATGATTGGTGAGTGACAGAGAGGGGGAGGGGTTTTGGAATGGATGCTGTGTGGATGATTGGACTGTCTATCTGGGGTGACTGTTAAGAGTTTTGACAGTTGATGAAGACAGAAAAGTTCAGTTAAGATATGTATGAGAGAGAAGGAGGAGCTTCCCTGTGTGGGCTGTTAAGTTCTAAGTCTTAGACTTGAATTAAGACAGTTGATAAGGAGTTGATTCTGAGGTCTGAAGGAGAGAAACAGTGATCTTACATGACCTTGAGTTTATGTTACAAAGTTGCTTGAAACCTCCCTGTCAGTGAAGGAGAAGCTTGTGAGAGACCCCAAGCAATTGTTCAAATCATTCACAGTACTGTTTGCATTGTGCTACTCTCGTATTTAAGCTATATTTAAATAAATTTTATTTCATTCAAGTATACCAGCTCTGGAAAGAATATTCCTCAGACCACATAGACCCCTCATGAACGCCTGAAACCCTCGACTTACCTACCCAGTGTTAGATATTATATTATAAAGGTTTGGAAAGCCTTAACATTCCTGGTGTTTCCCCATGACAGACACCCTGTGAGGCAGGTGGGGCTGAGAGAGCTCTGAGAGAACGGCCCTTGAGAGAACAGCTCTGAGAGAACTTGTGACTGACCCAAGGTCACACCAGCAGCTGCACGTGGAGGAGTGGGAAATCGAACCTGGTTCTCCCAGATTAGAACCTGCGCACTGAACCACTACACCAAACTGACTCCCACAACTGGATCCACAAGTTGTTGGTTACTGTGCTATCAACAGTCATTTGCTGCATGGACTTCCATGGCCAACAACATTTTCTAGTCGAGGGCTTGCACGACTCTGGGGGCAGCTAGGTGGTGCACCTGACTGGGCCCTAAATTCTAAGTGCGTCATTTAGAGTGAGACACAGGCCTAATCTATATATGTAGGGGAATCAGGTAGTAGAATGGATTGTACTGTTTCAGACTCAAGGTGGGGCATGCAATTTTGAATGCAAATACTGCCTGGGTTTTAGTTTTGAAAGGACACATCAGGGAGAAAGTCAGTATTCTGGGTTGCTCTCTGCCATGCTAATTTTCTTCCTGCAGCAAGTTTCTCCCCCACCCTGCAAACTGCAGTTGACTTATGGCCAACCCAGAAAGGTGCTTTTGAGGCGAGTGAGAGGTGGTTGGCCATTGCCTTCCTCTGCAATGCTTGATGGTCTCCAGTCCAAGTAGGGACCCTGCTTAGCCTCCCAGATCTGTTGCGACTCGGCTGTACCATACCATTCCAGATCCCCTTCCCCCCCCCATAAAGGAACATTTCTTTTTAAAAGGGTCCCTTCCATCATCTGAAACGATGCAGCCCATTCTTGTATCGCCTGACTGTGATGTCTCATTACAACTTGACTCTGCTGCACAAACAGATCCAGCCCCACCCATTTCTCGTAATGGCTTAGACTCATGAAGAAGAAGAGGAGTTTGGATTTATACCCCGCCCTTCACTTGGAGTCTCAGAGCGGCTTACAAACTCCTTTCCCTTCGCCTCCCCACAACAGACACCCTGTGAGGTGGGTGGGGCTGAGAGAGCCCTGAGAGAACTGCCCTTGAGAGAACAGCTCTGACAGAGCTTGTGACTGACCCAAGGTCACATCAGGAAGAGTGGGGAATCAAACCGGGTTCTCCCAGGGTCATCTAATCCAACCCCTTCACAATACAGGAAATTCACAATTACTCCCCCCCCCACACCCCCAGTGACCCCTGCTCCACGCTCAGAAGATGACAAAAAAACTCCAGGATCCTGGAGAAAAATTGCTTCCTGAAAGTCTGATCACTGTAACATGGGGATTTTGGAAACAGAACGCTGGACCAGGTGGACGCTGGTCTGATCCAGCAAAGCAAGTTTCTTGGTTTTTCTTTTCTAACGCTAGCTAGAGCAAACAGGAGAAGAACAAAGCACAAATACACAGCACGAATACACATCCGTGCTGTGTACAGACTCACTTTCAACTTCTTGACCCTTTGCTCGACGGTCTGCATGCTGGTGACCGGATCCGCCTTCTGCAGCTCTTCCAGCTCCTCTTCCGTTTGATCCAGCCAAGCGTTGATATTGGCCAGGTCGGAGTTGAGCTGCTGCCACTGCTGCAAATTCTGTTTCATGCGCAGCTTATTGCTTAGGTCCTGGGCTTGAAGGAGCTCCCACCTCTCGATGACTCCTGCGGATATTGCAGAATTGTCAGTGTTAAAAAAACCACACATCCAACCCTGCACTTCTGAACACAACTTGGGAGAATGATTATTATTTCTAGATATATCTTTCACGATGCATCCATTGCCCCTCTTGGCCAACAAAAGATAATCCCGTCTGATTGGCCAAACTGGCAACCAAACTGGCAACCAAACGAAATTGAAGGCTGAAAGCAGGAAAGGCACCTGGCCCCGACGGGCTTCTGCAGAAACCATTCCGGAAGCATCTAGAATGGTGGGCTCCTGCCGGTGCCACCCTCTTCACATTAACAGATAAATTCGGAATCATGCCTGAATCGTGGACTAATGCCGTAGTAGTGCTGATTTTTTTTTTTTAAAAAAAGTCAACCCTAAACTCCCAGAAAACCATCGCCCAATTAGTTTACTTTTCATCATGGGCAAACTCTGTGCAAGACACTAGACAAACTCATGGTCTGGGTGTCCAAGTAGAGTCTACCTGGGACAGAACAGACTGGATTTTGTTCCGGCAAATCTACCTTGGCACACTGTGTTACTCTTACCCATTTGGTTGAGAAGTACGGTGGCCTGTGTGGGAAGAAGTTATTCTCAGCGTTTCTTGATCTAAAATCTAAATGGGGCCTTTGACTATCTCTAGGAACCTGTTATGGAATAAACTGGATTTGTTGGGAATGGATAAGTGTTTACTTTTTCTTATCCCCAGCCTGTACTCCTCAACTAGTTGCCATGTTCACGGCCACTTTCTTGGTAACTTAACACACTCGATTCATTCACATCAGGGCGTTAAACAGGGATGTATTTTGGCCCCATATCTATTTAATTTATTTATGAATGATCTAACTCACACTTTGAGAACAGCAGATGGTCATTTCCCTATGCTGGGCCCATATCTTGTTCATCTGCTTCGGCGGGGAGGGCGAGATATAAATTAAATTAATAAAAATAAATAAATAAATAAATTTATTACTCTATGTGGATGACGCAGTAGTGTTATCCTGCTCTCAGAAGAGCCTTAAGTGCTTCTTGTCAGTGTTAGATTCCTACTGCGAGTCTAACTTATTATCTATAAATTTTGAGAAATCAAAAATAATGGTGTTTTCAAAGTCTCAGAGAGACACCTTAATTGGTATGCCAAGGGAAATCCCGTGGAACAAGTTAAACATTTTAAATATTCAGGAGTAAGCTTCCAATATAATAACAGTTGGATCGCACAGAGGAAATACATTTATTTATTTATTTATAATTTAGATGTATAAATTGCTCAATCCCTGAGTAAGGGCTCCGAGTGATGAGCAACAACAATAAAACGTATCATCCAAACAATTCCAACAATTTAAAAACTGATTAAACAATTTCACGGATAACAGTATTCAGATGGTGTTAATACGTCTAATTTCAACGGTGTCCTACTCTCGTAGGGAGTAGGTGGGAGCATAGTTGGAGGGGAGGGGGAGAAGGAGGGAGGGAGTGCCAGCCAAGACGGTGCCTGTTGCTGTCCTCAACCAAAGGGCCAGCAGAACATCTCTGCCTTGCAAGCCCTGTGGAATTGCATAAGGTCCTGCAGGGCACGGATGTCATTTGGCAGAGTTCCACCAGGCAAGGGCCAGGGCAGACGTAGGGGGACGTAGTGGAGGCGGTGGTCCTACAGGTACACTGATCCCAGACCGCTGAAGGCCTTGAAGGTCAGTACCAAACCCTTGAACCTGACCTGGTATTCCATTGGAAAACAGTGCAGCTGGCACGGCACAGGCTGAATACGTGCTGCCCATGGCGCTCCCCTCGGGACTCGCACAGCTGTGTTCTGGATCAGCTGGAGCTTCCGGATCAGTCTCAAGGTAAAGGGAGTTACAGTACTTAATTTAGCTAAAATGTGGTATGTCTGTGGTTGTTCACTTTTGTATGTGAAGGGTGCCCAATATGTTCCAGCTGCTGTTTGAGTCTTCAACACCAAATCGGCATCCCAATTATCCCAATTGGTATCCTAATTATTATATGGAATCCCCATCTACATCAGTGCCTTTACAAGTTCAGGCGTTGTACAGGTATGTGGCCATGTGTCTGGAGACAAGGCAGAACCTCTTAGAGACCAGAGTTTGGCTCTCTCTACCCTGAAATTCTGGCTTCATCTCCAGGGCAGAATCCCCTAACTATATTCAGGACATGTTGGCCAACTCCTTTACAAATACCTGGATTTGCCGAATAAAGTGGAAAATTCGGTCAATTGGTATTCCATTTGATTCTCTCCTCATATTAGGGGAATCTCAAGCCTTTAGGCTATTGAGACCGAGGCTCTTGGACACTGAAAAGCAGGCCCGTAGCCAGGATTTTTAAATTCAGGGGGCCCATTAAATAAGTCAGGGGGCACCCCGCACAGACACCCCCCCCAAGGGAGCACCACAAATAAAATAAAAAATGGGAAGTTGGGGGGCTGTGCTGGATTGGAAATTGGGGAGGGGCTTGACAGTAAGTCGGGGGGGGAGGCCCCGAGATGCCCCACTGTAGCTACGGGCCTGCTGAAAAGCAATCTCTGTATTCTTTAGCAAATAGGATATGTTCTCCAGTGGCATTTTGGTATCGTGCCTGAGCAGGGAATTTTAGCCTCCTGGTTCTCACATTTAACATCTCCACAAATACAATGAGCGTTTATAGTTGCTAGGTTCAATGCCCTCTCTACAGCAGTCCTTATTGGAAGATTCCAAAATGTTCCCTGTTCTCAAAGACTCTGTATATGTAAGGCTGGAAGCCCCGAATCTGTTACGTATGTAGTACTCTACTGTGATCTTTACGCTGAATTGCGCTGCCCTCTAATCAGTCCACTTTTCTGTAAGATGAAAGGGTACTCCGAGGAGAGGCTTGTCTTGTATCTTCTATTAGACTGAAGCCCTCATATTACAGGGCCTGGTAGCAAGGTATTTGCTAACTGCTATGAAAATCCGGGAACTTAAGGCAAAGCAATGTGAAGAGGAATTTCCCCCTCTGTAATGTTTTAATTGCATTCTTCTTTTTTCTTCCTGATACAATTTGATCTATGTGAATAAAGGTACTACTATACTGTCATATTATTTCTGGCACTTGGCAGGTCCCTTGAAGATCGCAAAAAAACACCCCCAAACAAACCTTGAAAATATTACTTTCTATTCCTTAAGAACTCAAGAAGAGCCCTGCTGGATCAGACCAGTGGTCCATCTAGTCCAGCATCCTGTCTCACACAATGGCCAACCAGTTCCTCAGGAGGGCCAACAACAGGGCACAGAGGCCGAGGCCTTCATTAGAACATAAGAAGAGCCCTGCTGGATCAGACCAGTGGTCCATCTAGTCCAGCATCCTGTCTCACACAAGGGCCAACCAGTTCCTCTGGAGGGCCAGCAACAGGGCAGAGAGGCTGAGGCCTTCATTGGAACATCAGAAGAGCCCTGCTGGATCAGACCAGTGGTCCATCTAGTCCAGCATCCTGTCTCACACAAGGGCCAACCAGTTCATCTGGAGGGTCAACAACAGGGCACAGAGGCCAAGGCCTTCATTAGAACATAAGAAGAGCCCTGCTGGATCAGACCAGTGGTCCATCTAGTCCAGCATCCGATCTCACACAGGGGCCAACCAGTTCCCCTGGAGGGCCAACAATAGGGCAGAGAGGCCGAGGCCTTCATTAGAAGATCAGAAGAGCCCTCCTGGATCAGACCAGTGGTCCATCCAGTCCACCATCCTGTCTCACACAAGGGCCAACCAGTTCCTCTGGAGGGCCAACAACAGGACATAGAGTTTGAGACCTTCCCCTGATGTCGTCTCCTGGGATTAGGATTCGAGGTTCCCTTTAGTCACCCTGGCTAGCAGCCACTGACAATCTTTGCTACACTGGATTGGCTACATAGACTGATGGATTAGCTACAAAGACTGATACGGAGCCCTTGTTAAAACCGGAATAGGTTGTTATCCCTTATGGCAATACACTAACTAAAAAAGAAGCAGACAATTGGCAGGTTGTTGAGCTAGAAGGCCCGGATTGTATCCTTTCACTCTGCTTGGCGAACAGCAGCATGTTATCCTGGCGCTAGAATCCTTCCTCGGATTCAAGAGGCTCTTCTGTCATAGGATACAGCTGACTCCGATTACTCACTCCGATTACCCAAATGGCTATCATTTCAGAATCTAAGCGAGGGGTACACAGCCTCATAACAGGTAAAACTAAAACGAGGTAATATCGCCTAGTTATTCTATATACCTTCTCTGCACAGCCTTTGGCTGAACTCCCGATTCTGAATTGAAGCCGAACTGTATGGAATCGCATCTGCTCCTTTTTGTTACCCTCCCGTTTCCCTCTCTTTGCTTTCTCCCTCCCTTTTGAACTTTTGACTGCAAGCAAGCTGGGGCAGGGAGCCCTCTCCTTTTTTTGCTTACATTACCTACGTAAATTCCTGCACAATTGAAGGGACAATTGTGTGGAGGCAGATGAGGCACTGTGGATCGTTCTGCAGGGCACTGTCTGAATTTAATCATAGCTGAATACACGAAGCTGCCTTACACTGAGCCAGACTCTTGGTCCACCGAGGTCAATATGATCTACTCAGACTGGCCGTTGCTCTCCAGGGTCTCAGGGAGAGGTGTTTCACATCACCTACTACCTGGTCCTCACAACTGAAGGTGCCAGGGACTGAACCAAGGACTTTCTACATGCCAGGCAGATGCTCTACTACTAAGCCATAGCCTCTTCCTGGCTGCCTTATACTGACCGTTGATCTATCAAGATGGGTATTATCCAGGGGTCATTTTGTAGAAAAAGAGGTGCAGGAGCTCATTAGCATAACCAATTAGCATAACTGATTTGCATATGCCACACCCCCTGACATCACCGGAAGTGTGTCAGAAGGCAACACCCACCGGTCAGGCTCCACTGGAATGTTTTGGATTGCTAGCTATTGGGGGGGGGGGAGACTGCAGATCTGTCGTCACAGAGGAGGGAGAGCTTGTACCTGAATAAAACTTGGTCATAAAGGTGCAACTGGACTGTTTTGGACTGGGGGGCGGGGGGGGGGGGGTCTGCAACTTACCTGGCTGCTTCTTGCTCTGCTGCTTCTTGCTCTGACTGAGGGCTGCTGGGAGCAGGGGGTGGGGCTTGTTGCATGTGCCCGCCCCCTGGGCTCTTTATTGCCGGAGCTCCGCTCCTGTGCGCTCCTGCAGGAAATGACCCCTGGTATTATCTATTCTGACTGGCCGTGGCTCTCCAGGGTCTCAGCTAGAGGTCTTCCACATCACCTACAGCCTGGTCTATTTAACTGGAGATGCCGGGGATTGAACCTGGGACCTTCTGCATGCCAAGCAGAGGCTCTATCACTGAGCCACTCGCCCCTTTCTAGCTGTGTTACCTTTGGTCTATCAAGTTGGATTCTAACTGTTCATGGCTCTCCAAGGTGTCAGGTGGAGATCTTTGACATCACCTAATCCTTTTAAGTGGAGATGCTGGGCCTTGAACCTGGGACCTTCTGCATGCCAGGAAGATGCTCTACCACCGAGCCATAGCCCCTCCCTAGCTGTCTTATACTGACCTTTGGTCTATCAAGATGGGTATTATCCATTCTGACTGGCCATGGCTCTCCAGGGTCTCAGCTAGAGGCCTTTCACATCACTTATTGCCTGGTCCTTTTAATTGGAGGTGGCGAGGATTGAACCTGGGACCTTCTGCATGCCAAGCAGATTCTCTACCACTGAGCCATAGCCCCTCCCTAGCTGTCTTATACTAACCTTTGGTGTATCAAGATGGGCATTATCTATTCTGACTGGCAGCAGCTCTCCAGGGTCTCAGGCAGAGGTCTTTCACATCACCTACTGCCTGATCCTTTTAACTTTAGTTATTTATTTATCTTTGAATTTATATCCCGCCCTGAGGCTAACAAGAGGCTAACAAGAGGCACAAAGTGCCAAGATTAAAACGAATAAAAACAACATAACAATAAAACAATAAAATACAATAACAAAATATCAGTGCTCCATTTGTCACAAGGTGAGGTAGATCTTAATCCCAACGGTAACATTCCCATAGTCTGTCATCCCTTCTCCTGCCAGGTCACCTCGCACCCCGAAGGGACCAGATAGTGGTGGTGATGGTGTGACGGTGCATAGACAGCAATGATGGAGTAGTGGTGGCGGCGGCTCCTACTCAAAAGCCTGGCGGAAGAGCTCCGTCTTGCAGGCCCTGCGGAACTGAGAAATATCCCGCAGGGCCCGGATCTCCTCCGGGAGCTCCTTCCACCAGGTAGGAGCCGCCACCGAGAATGCCCTGGCTCTGGTCACTGCAAATTTAATGTCACTGGGGCCTGGAATTTCCAGGAGATGACAACTCCCCGACCGTAGTGCCCTTGGGGGAACATATGGGGAAAACTGGAGATGATGGGGATTGAACCTGGCACCTTCTGCATGCCAGGAAGATGCTTTACCACTGAGCCACTCGCCCCCTTCCCTTTGTTACCCACTCGAACAAAGAAAGAGAATGGCGGTGGGGGGGGATATCACAAGAAGCCCTGCTGATGTACCTGATTGCTTCTCCACAGCTGCAACTCCAATGAGGCCTTGGCTGTTGGGGGGCTCTTCACTGGGCGAGATCCCAGAGATCTCCTTCATGCTGTCTACGCTGCTGCTGCTGAGTTGTTTTACCTGGAATAGGACAACAGGCAAAGTACAGAATGATGCTCACAAAGCATGTGCTGCCACCTGACAACGGGAAGGTTGCCCAAGGGCCCGCCACTGCCATTCTCCGCAAGGGCTTCTGTCGGTTGCCTGCTCCTCTGCAGAGTTCTTCCCGCAATTCCTACTGCTGGGACTGAAGACAACCAAAAGGCTATTAAGTAATGGGTTCTCCTGCACCAACCATCTTTCTTATCGACTTGTTCTTCATTAGGAGTTCAGGAAGCTGTAAACAGCGAGTCTGTCGCCCCTTTTCGTTCCTCATTGCACTGGAAGGTCCCACCCAAGACCTTCTCTGGTCTACCCGCCAGAGACGTCGGCAGACACGGTCTTCCCTTTCGGCGTGTTTTCTCAGGGGCACCTTCTGTTATCACTCGGGGGTCTTTCCACCTACACCCAGAACAGCTTAGAGAGCTGGAAGCTGGCTCTGGAAATTGAAGCCTGGGGCAGTCTTTGGGGAGTCTCACACCCTGCATTCATCTTTATCGATTACATTTTTATTCCACTGTTACTCAAAAAAGAGAGAGAGAGCTCGAGACAGCATATAACAGAGGCATGTGTATGTTTGTTTCAGAGGGGAGCCATGTCGGTCTGCAGGAGGAGAGCCAGATTCGAGTCTAGTAGAACCTCAGAGACCAACAAGATGTTTTTTTTGGGGGGGGGCTATGAGCTTTCAAGAGTCAAAGCTCCCTTTGTCCGTATGTGTGAATGTGCGCTTCTCTCCGTGGTCTTCCTGCTCCAAATCTCTCCCCCGTCCCCACCAATAAAGTTCCAAAATGGTGCTCTGGGGAAAACATCTTTTCCAGAACCGTGTGGTGGTGATGACTGGGGAAGTTAGGGAGAGGAAAGAGGGAAAATTTGGAAAGGGATCGAAGCACACACTCACCACTTGTCCTCTCTCGGTTCCCTCCCCTCTTCCAAAGCTGTCTTCCATTTCAAAAATTGCGCTGGACTCACAGAATCATAGAATCAGAGAGCTGGAAGGGGCCATAGAGGCCATCTAGCCCAACCCCCTGCTCAATGCAGGATCAGCCTACAGAGCATCCCTGACAAGTGTTTGTCCAGCCCCTGCTTAAAGACTGCCAGGGAGGGGGAGCTCAACACCTCCCAAGGCAGCTGATTCCATTGCTGAACAACTCTTCCTGTGAAAAAGTTTTTCCTAATATCCAGCCGGTACCTTCCCGCCCTTATTTTAAACCCACTATTGTGAGTCCTCTCCTCTGCTGCCCACAGGAACAGCTCCCTGCCCTCCTCCAAGTGACAGCCCTTCAGATACTTAAAGAGAGCCATCCTGTCCCCCCTCAACCTCCTCTTCTCCAGACGGAACATCCCCAAGTCCCTAAGCCTTTCCTCACAGGGCTTGGTCTCCAGGCCCCTGATCATCCTCGTCGCTCTCCTCTGCACCAACTCTGTTCTGTCCACATTCCTTTGGAAGTGAGGCCTCCAGAACTGCACACAATACTCCAGGTGTGGCCTGACCAATGCAGTCTGCAGCGGTTACATCTTGGGTGGACGCGATGCGGTTAGCCCCTTGGCGTAATCCCCGTGCCTGCTTTTAAGACTTACATAGCTCGGCTTGAAGGGTGTGCTTGTCTCCGGGCTGTTCGGCAAGACATTTCTAACCATGTCCCCCTGATCGTACGGATGCTGCTGGCAAATGGAGCCATCCGGCGAGTGCCACGTGTGAGAGTCGGACGCGGATTTCCCTGTTGTGTGACAATGCAAAGAAATCCACAGAGAGAAAAACGAAATGAGATGCTGGACAGAGCTTTTCCTGTAAGAAGACGACAAGCATTCTGCCAAAGAGTTATGGCATGGAGGGGGAAAAAATGTGAGTCCCACCGTTTCCCTTGCAAAGCATGCTTGTTTGCAAACACAGGTCAGCAGTGCTTCAGGGGTGGGCGATGGAATGAGGGCCATGCAGTTATAGGACATGGTTTCTCTCTCTCTCTCTAACTTTCTCAGCTGAAAATACCTGCAGACAGACTGTACGAGTTAACAACAACGCCAAAAAGCAGGGGGGAAGACTTCTGAGAGCAAGGCCTGTTCCGACCATTAGCCAAGACAAGGCAGTCTAAGTCACGTGGCAGATTCGGTGGCACCATTTAAAAGGCCCGTGAAATGGCCTTATGTGGAGTCCACGCATTGGACCATCTAGCTCAGCACTGCCTGCTCTGATTGGCTGCAGCTCTCGAGGGTCGCAGTGACGGTCCTTCCCAGTGGCTCCCTACCTGAAATCCTTTAGTTAGAGAGGGTGGCAAATGGACCTGGAATCCGCTGCTCTACCATGGTCCACCCCCCCCCCCCAATTTCAAAATTAACAATTTATTTTTATCCCTAAAGTGTGTGAGGAGGAGAAAGGTCACTGGGCCAATTTTCGATACCTTGGGTTGTTTCTGCGACTCCATTGGCACTCAAGATGGGGCCGCTGTGCCACGAAGCAACAGCCGAGGAGAGATGTCTGCCCTTGGTTCGGAGAGCATAGCAAATGCTCATTCCGGATTGCCCCAAAGAAGTACCACCTAGAGCAGGGTTCCCCAACGTGGTACCTGTGGGTCACATGGCACCTGGCAGTACTTCCATTGGCTCCCGCATTTTCAGAAAGTGGGTGGGGCCATTGTAAGGCAGGGTTTTGTTATTCGTTGCCCTCGCTTAAATGAAAAGATTTTCTGCTGGAAGATTAGAAGGACTGCTAAGCACCTGAGCCTTCCTTAGTCAATGTGTGGTTCCATCCCCCCCTTCAGAATTTCCGTCTCTCCAGGAGGTTTGAGGAGGGAGGTGTCCCATTCAGCTTCACCTCCGGTGGCAGCCATTTTGAATCTGACTCCGCCTCCTGTGACAGCCATTTTGGGGTGACACTCAACACCCACTCTCAAAATTCCAAAGGTGCCCACAGGCTCAAAAATGTTGGGGAACCCTGACTTAGAAAGAGCTTTCAGGTCCAGTGCTGAATAGCAAAGCAGAATGTTAGCCCAGCAACCTTTTTTTTTTGCAAGATAACGGCAACCGGCGTGAACTTTGCTAATATCATTCCATGAAAGAAGCAGGCATAGGAGAGCTGAGATACCAGCCGATTAAAAAAACCCAACAACACGAAATTCTGACATTTCTTAAATTGGAAATTCGCAAATTGGACGAATTAACAGGTCAGATGCACTGAAGAAACAGCATTAGCTCTCTAGATGAGCTAGGAAGATACAACCTCTGTTTCATGGAATATACAGTTCTTATCCCTGTATTTTATTCTTTTTTTTGGTAATTTTTTTTCCTGAGAGAACTCCCTCTCCTAAAAGTTTACCCGTTTTCATATGAATGGAGATTGACAAACAGCATGATGGGGAATGTGGAGACGCGGGTGAGTGCACTGCAGCGTTTTAAAAAAGAAAATAATCCACCATGGGCCACAGCTGGCGCATGGTGTCGACACAAGCCAGGGAGCACATGAGAGAGGTGTGAGGAGCAGAACGTGCGCCACAGGGAGACTGGTCATGTTGGGACACATGCAGCAGCAGGGGCCTACCCGAAACTGCTCTCACAGCTTTTGTGGTCATTTTAAGATAGGCCTCGGGATTTTCAGTGATTTCTATATCTGGAAAAAGAATAATGACACCAGTTGCTGTTCTGAAAAAAAAAGATTCTCTCTGTCTCTCTCTTCCTCCCTTTTCCTCCCCCCATGTACCCTACTAGTGCGGGATCCGGTGAAAGATCCATCTCTCCCATCACTGGATTGTCAGTTGCCTGTGGAAAACTGGCCCAGAAGACATGACAATGAAGGCCGCCACTTGTTATTTCGCCCTCAGTATCTGACATTCAGAGGTACACTGCCTCTGAACATGGAAGTTTAGTGTAGCTATCACAGCTGAACATTATTTAGTTCTTCATGTTTCTCTCCTTAATGGCTAATTATCTGTGCTGCTCACCTTCCCACATGGAAATATTAGCTCGGGCCCATAGCTATAGTGGGGCATTTCGGGGCCATGCCCCCTTAATTAACCCCCCCCAAGCCATGCCAGAAAGCATTTAAAAATATTTATTAAGTCATCAACTTAATTAAGTTAAGTAATTAACAAGTGCCCCTAAGAAATTTAAATGCCCCCCAACGAAAAAAATCCTGGCTCAGAAGAAAGGTAAGAGGAGATAAAGAACAGATGTAGAAATGTAGCCCGTAGTTCTTTCTTCTCTCTTCCTTTGGTTGCCTATCTGTAAGGCAGTTGTCAGTGTTCAGGTCCGAATTCTGATCTGGTGGGGCTAATGTGTGACCATGCCCTAAGAGGTTAAAGAGTTCTGAGGATTTAAAAGATATATATATTGGAAGAGAAGTTCGTGCCTGACTGAAAAGGCATAGGAATTAATCTGCGGGAGGGGAATCCCTTTCCATGCTAAGGGCATGTATGCACAATTTCCCCTTCTTCACTTCCTATCCTAGCTACAGCCTGCGTCAGAGCCTCCAGAAATCCTTCTGGCAAATGAGCCTGGGGAGAGGAGGAGAATCCACACAATGGGATATATGCAAAGCCATTCCACAACACATTCCCCTGTCATGGCACATGCCCTCCTGCATTTCTGGTTCTGTACAAAGCGTCTTAGGGGGGGAAATACCTCCACTGTACCACTCCGGCAAAACGATGAGGAAATCATCCATTTGAGAACTTCGTCATTGGATTTATTACTATATATTTGCCTTCCTCTACAATTGTGACCCAAAGCAGCTTATATCATTCTTCTCTCCTCCCTTTTTATCCTCACAACAACCCTGTGATGTACGTTAGGAAGAGAGTGTGACTGGCCGAAGGTCACCCAGTGAGTTCCCATGGCAGGGTGGGGATTCAGTTCTGGGCCTCCCAGATACTAGCTGGACACTCGAGCTGCTACACCACACTGGCTCCTTGGGATTTAAGGTAGCAAGAAAGGCTACTGTGCTTTCCCTGGCCTGCTAATGTTCTACCTGCAGGGAGAATTTTTTTTTTAAACACAGAGCATCCCAAAACATGATGCTCATTCTCCATCTGCAACCTGAAGTGGTACATCCAGAATTCTGCCACAGGATTTATTTTATTTTATTTATTTGATGGGATTTGTATCCCGCCCGCCCTGCACAGCGGGCTCAGGGCGGGTTTCCATCAAATATAATACACAAACAAAAACAGTTAAAATACATCAGACAAAATAAAGTGCAATTTCTACATATCCAATCAGAGCCTCAACAGATGTGACCTATCGGAACTGGGTTCCAAATATTACTCAGATCTGATCCACCAAAGGGGGGACCCGATAGATAGAAAAAAAGGAGGACACCCGCCGCCTCAACTAAAAGCCTGGCGGAAGAGCTCCGTCTTGCAGGCCCTGTGGAACTATAAAAGGTCCCGCTGGGCCCTGATCTCATATGGATGATCAATGGACCTCCCTGAACTGCACAGATGGGAAGCTCTCCACCTGACATTGCTAGGAGTTACATATTTTAGTGTGAGATGTGGAATTTTTCTCTCTTTTCTTTAGGGGCAGAGGTCAAACATAATTCCTGGCTGCCTTGTAAGAACAGCCAGGCATGGAGGGGAGGAAGGAGGCTCACCTGAGAGAGCGCTGTAGTACGGCTCCTCCTCCTCATCCTCGTGAGACGAAGAGCCCCCCACATCTCCGGTGTGGTCCCACTCAAGTGGGATGGAGTCCACACTGACAGGCATCTTGCAGCCTGACCGTTCGTGGCCCACTGCGGGGGGCACGAGGTGGCACAGAGACTGCGGGGAGGGCGGCACCTCCTGTGTGGCTTTCTTGCACCACGGATCAGTCTGCGCGCCTCTGGAGTCTTCTGCGTCGGCTTCGTTTTCGGAGGTCTCTTTTTCATCTTCCAGTCCCTTAAAAAAAAACAAACAGGAAAAGAATGTAGCAATTAACATTTGCATGTCACTCCTGTTCCAGAGAGTAGACTCACTTTTCTATGAGGCAGGTGAGGCTGAGAGAAACACACAGAAACACACACACACAGAGAGAGAGAGAGAGAGAGAGAGAGAGAGAGAGAGAGAGAGAGAGAGAGAGAGAGAGAGACTCGCCTCCTCCTTCTTTTCCAAGAATGGAGAGTAACACACTTCTTCTCCTTCCCCACTCATAAAGCTGGTGCCAGGCCTGCAAAGAGGGCTGGGGCCAACTGAAGCTGTCCTTACCTCCGTTTCTAGCAGGATGAACAAATTGGCAAATACACTGTGGGTCCTGCCTATCTCGTGGTGGTGGAAAAGGCTGTCAAGTCGCAGCTTACAGAGACCCCTCGCTGAGTTTTCAAGGCCAGAGACGAAGAGAGGTGGCTTTGCCACTGCCTGCCTCTGGCTAGCAGCCCTGGACTTCCTTGGTGGTCTCCCATTTAAATACCGACCAGGGCTGACCCTGCTTTTAGCTTCCACGATCTGATGAGGCAGGGCCAGCCTGATCCAGATCAGGGCAGTTTGATATCAGAATGCCCCAAAACCTGGGTTTGCATGGGCTTTTTCTTCGTTTTAGTTAGTTACTTAAAGAGAGAGAATTATTCCCTCCCGGGGGGGGGGGAGTTCATTTTTATGTTGAACTTCATTGCTGTCGACCTGCTGGTGCTTTCATGCGAGGGCTGTGGGGTCTTTTTTTAATGTATCTCGATTTTCAATCATCTATTGTATTTTTATGATTTGTAATGGATGGTTTTGATGATCTGTCATGGATGATTTTGATGATTTTTAGTTTATCTTTTTTAATGATGATTTTGATTATTTTAATTGGCTATTTTCACGATGGCCATTACCAATGTTCCCTCTAAGCCGTGGAGTCTAGTGAGCAAAAATTCTACTTTGTGAGCTACTGGCATTAAAGTTGTGAGCGAGTGATTTGGCTACTGCAACAATTAGTTTGCTCCGGAGCCACCCTTCCTGTGCTAAGACAAAGATGTGTGAGCCGGAGGCTAAAAAACTGTGAGCTAGCTCACACTAACTCAGTTTAGAGGGAACACTGGTCATTACTGACTTCAGTGAACATTAACTCCAGTATATTGCTGACGGCTAAGAGATGGGGGGGTTCAAAGTCACGAATGGGCTCCTGCTAAAGAAAAAATTCAGTTCTTTGTTTACCGGGTGCCAGGAGGTCAGCTTTTGGTGGAATCGGGAGACGCGGCCAAAGACTTCTTGGCAGTACTTGTGGAGCTCCACCAGTTCTTCTTCGATCACAACAGCGTCTGACGGCTCGCTCTTCTGAATCAGATGCTCTCCAAACACAATGAGCTGATCGATCTTGTTGATGTTCAGTGTTATTTCCTGCTGGAAACCCTATTTGGAAGAAAGGTGTGGTTGCTTCACATCAGGTTATCGCACATCGAGACTGCATCGTTCAGATTATTTCACATAAACAGAGGTCAAGGAGGGACACGCTTCATCATGTTTGCATTGGTCTAGCAGGCAGGTAACAACTCAGAAGGCTCTGGCAAATGAGACAAGCTACGTCCTACTGGAGAAGTCAATTACTTCCGCGAACAGCCAACCCATTTAAAATTCTATCCTATCCCAAATATGGAGATTTTAGATCCTGAATCCATTCTCCAGACCATTCCATGGAGACATTTCCTTGGCTGAATAGTATGTTAATGTGCTCACGTGTGGATCTTTTGCATATGTATCCTTCCTCATCATTTCAATGAAGGAATCTGAAACTAGGAAGGAATGTGGCTGTGGATCAGGCTCCTCCATTGAAATTAACATACAAATTGTGAGCTCTGGCATTTCCACAGAGCTGTAGGCTGGGACTTCCAGGTCTTGCACTGATGAACTCCGCCTCCCAAACAGCAGAGTAGTGGAAGCAAAGACTGGTTTTGCATGAAGAGAAGAGATTGCATTTATACCCCAGCCTTCACTACCCGGAGAAGTCTCAGAGCTGCTGTACAGATTTTACAAAACACTGCTTCAGCCACCGCAGCACAAGAATCTTCACTGTGTGACTGGAGATAAGCTGCATTGGTCATTTTGTGGCTGGCTCAGCCTCCTGCGGCAGCCCTTTGGTGGCTGAGCCCACCTGGCTGTGTCACAATTCCAAAGGTGCCTGCAGGCTCAAACAGGGTGGGGGACTCCTGTACTAGAGTCATAAGTATTTTTCTCCCATGTAGGTCAGTAAAGAAGACTGCTTGGTGCGACGCTATAAAAATACCAGCCCAGTTATCATTAGCTAAACTCTATAAACGAAATTACACCGAAAACAGACCATCAGACGTTGTATAGCTCGCTATTAAATACTTTCTAACATGAATTATACAATGCAATAACTTTCGTCCCAAATCATGTAGCGACATTCAATGTATTCATATAAATGTATACATATTTATATGAATAAATTAATATTTATAAGAATACACTGAATGTTGCTACGTGATACGGGACGAAAGTGATTGTATTGTGTAATTCATGTTAGAACGTGTTTGACAGAGAACTATACAATGTTCGATGGCCTGTTTTCGGTGTGATTTTGTTTACAGGCTCTTTGTAAGCCGCCCTGAGCCTGTGCTGCGGGGAGAGCGGGGTATAAATTGAATAAAATAAATAAATAAATGATACAGTGTTGAACTTCTCACACCTTTTGTGTCTGTACTGCTATAGTTCTCATTAGCAGCACAGTCTAAAAAGAGATACTGAAGAAGAAGAACAAAAGAAGAAGAAGAAAAAGAGGAGGAGGAGGAGGAGATTGGATTTATACCCCGCCCTTCACTCGGAGTCTCAGAGCAGTTTACAATCTCCTTCCCTTCCTCTCCTCACAACAGACACCCTGTGAGGGAGGTGGAGCTGAAAGAGCTCTTTCCAGAACTGACCTTGAGAGAACAGCTCTGACAGAACTATGGCTTGCCCAAGGTCATCCAGCAGCTACAAGTGGAGGAGTGGGGAATCAAACCCAGTTCTCCCAGATTAGAGTCCACACACTTAACCACTACACCAAACTACAAAACAGCGGTCTGCTGCTGTTAATTTAAAAAGTACTACCTACATTTAGCTGCCGCATCTTGTCATCAAAGTTGCCCTCCGAGAAGTGCTCCACGTTGGTCAGCTGCAAGTCCATTTCCGTCAGCCACACCAGGATGCTGTCCTTCGCCCCCACAAAATCATCCCATTGACTGGTAAAGTGCTAAAGACAACCACGGGACAGAGTTCGTCAACACAACCCTTGAAGTCGCTCGCATCAGTCTGTCTACAAAACAGGTGCTTTTAACGCATGATGCATCTTTTCGTGCATTCGGCAGCCGTCGGGCTGCCAGCAAATGGAAGCAAAGGTAAAGGGGGGGGGCACCACAAGCTACATTTACGACTGCAGATGCAAGAATCGTTGCTGACATTGGTTACTCAAGTTGCATTCATTATTCTCAGAGCCGTGCATGATCATGGGAGGGAGGGCAGGAAGGGTTGCATTAGTGCTTAGTTCTTTGTGGCCCGTTTTTACACACCCAGGGAAATGCTGATCGCCACTTTGGGATCAGGAAGCCATTTTTCTCCAGCCCAGTTTGGCTGGAGATCCTGGAGGGTTTTTTTGTCGTCTTCTGGGTGTGGAGCAGCGGTCACTGGGTGTGTGTGTGTGTGTGGGAGGTATTTATGAATTTCGTCCACTCTGCAGGGGGTTGGACTAGATGACCTTGAGGTCCCTTCCAACTCTGTGATTCTATGTTCAGCAGCTCTGAGCATGTGTGGGGGAAAAGAAAACAGTTCGGTACATGTTTCAGCTTCCCAAGAATCTCAGCTCTCCCACTTTTAAAACAATTCCGTGGCACAATCTAGTCCCTCCTTCCCTGCCCTGTGTCTCAGAAGAGGATCGCCATAGGAACCAAAGGAGACCTTTCCTTTCTCCTCTCCTGTGGGTGCCTCTGAGCCTCACGTGTCCTGCAGCAGGCTGGTGATTACATTCAACAGGAGACCTGAGAGCAACGCTCCCTCTAAGCTGTGGAGTCCCGTGAGCAAAAATTCTACTTTGTGAGCTACTGGCATGAAAGTTGGGAGTGAGCGATTTGGATACTGCATAAATTAGTTTGCTCTGGAGCCATCCTTCCTGAGCTAAGGCAAAAATGTGACAGCTAGAGGCCAAAAACCTGTGAGCTAGTTCGCACTCACTCAGCTTAGAGGGAACACTGCCTGAGAGAACTTTTGCACATATTCAGCCACCTGTGGCAAGGCTTCTCATGCTCAGAGCCAACGCCTTGAGGAGGGAAGGGGTGGTTGAATTATCTGGAAGGAACTTTGTTCTGTGTGTAAAGGTTGTGTCCGGATGAGCTGAGAGGGAAAGGAGGAGGCCATCGATACTTGTATGTGCCGCCTGAAGAGTGATATGTGGATTATGTGCCACATTTCTAGCCCTTACGACTCAGCAGAGGACCTGTGGCTCAGAGTTGGGGCATCTGTTTGGCAAGCAGAAGGTCCCAGGTTCAATCCCCAGCATCTCCAGTTAAAAAGGGTCAGGTGATGTGGAAGACCTCAGCTTGCAGCCCCGGAGAAGCACTGCCAGTTTGAGCAGACAAAGAAGGACCTTGATGGACCAAGGTATAATGTAGCATCATGTGTTTATGTGACTGCAAAAATAGGTTTGGAAATGGCCATGTCTTGGATGAGCTCTCCAAAGTCAGAGAGGGGAGTTCTCTCTCTATAGTATTATAGACTCACAATGGTCCTTGGTCGCAGAATGTTTTCTTGGCTTCAAATTTGGAGTTTCTATTTTTTTTTAAAGTGCACAGAGGTACTCTTAACCCCTTGTCTATTTCCCATGCATAGATCGGATTCTCCTTCCTAGAGAATTTAGGCTGAATGATTAATTATTTAAAGGCACCAAACAGCGGGAGGGGTGACTCTCTCACATGGTGCCCTTTCTCCAAAATTCTACTGGCTATCCACGTTTCCTTTTCCCTTTCCCAAAGGAGCTCTGGGCAACATAGAATCATAGAGTTGGAAGGGGCCATACAGGCTATCTAGTCCAACCCCCTGCTCAATGTGAGATCAGCTTGGAGCATCCCTGACCAGTGTTTGTCCAGCCGTTGCTTCAAGACTGCCAGGGAGGGGGAGCTCGCTACCTCCCTAGGTAGCTGGTTCCACTCTTGCACAACTCTGACTGTCAAAAAGTTTTTTCTAATATCCAGCCGGTACCTTCCCGCCCTTAATTTAAACCCATTCTTGCCTCTCCTCTGTTGCCAAGAAGAACAGCTCCCTGCCCTCTTCTCTAAGGGACAGCCCTTCAAATACTTCAAGAAAGCAATCATGTCCCCCCTCAACCTCCTCTTCTCCAGACTGAACCTTCCCAAGTCCCTCAGCTGTTCCTCACAGGGCTTGGTCTCCAGCCCCACGATCATCCTCATCACTCTCCTCTGCACCCGCTCCGTTCTGCCCACATCCTTTCTGAAGTGAGGCCTCCAGAACTTCACACTATACTCCAGGTGTGGCCTGACCAATGCAGTGTACAGTGGGACTCTGACACCTTGCGATCATATACAGTTCACCCAGGGGTCATTTTGTAGAAAAAGAGGTGCAGGAGCTCATTCGCATAACTCATTCGCATAACTTATTTGCATATGCCACACCCCCTGACATCACCGGAAGTGTGTCGGAAGGCTCCACTGGACTGTTTTGGATTGCTAGCTATTGGGGGGGGGGGAGAATGTGCAGATCTGCCCTCACAGAGGAGGGAGAGCTTGTACCTGAATAAAACCTGGTCTTAAAGGTGCCACTGGACTGTTTTGGACCGGGGGGGGCGGGCGGGGGGAGCTCTGCAACTTACCTGGCTGCTTCCTGCTCTGACTGAGGGCTGCTGGGAGCAGGGGGTGGGGCTTGTTGCATGTACCCGCCCCCTGGGCTCTTTACTGCCGGAGCTCTGCTCCTGTGTACTCCTGCAGGAAGTGACCCTGAGTTCACCCCCCTTTTATCCTTTCAATAACCCTCTGAAGAAAGTTGGCAGAGAGCGTGCCTAAGATCATCGTGGGAACTTCGAGGCCAAGCAGGGCTTTGAACTCAAGTCTCTCGGTTCCTAGTCCTACACCAGCACACTTCACTATCCCTGGCACCGCCCATGCGCAGTCACCTTGAGTCTCTTCAGAATTGCCGTCACGCGTTTCTGGAGGTTGTCCCACCGCTGGTTCCCCTCGTGGACCATCTGCTTGAGCTTGCTAGCGGAATCAGTGCGGTTCTCCCGGGCCAGCCGCCGGTATTGCTTGTTGATCAGCTCCAGCTGTGTCAGTCGCTCGTGGATCTGACGCTGAAATGCCTGCAGTGTAAAAGCAACGAATAAGTTTAGATTTGATTCCCCCCCCCCCCCCCCCGGCTGGCTAAAAAAAAAAGGCGAACACGCGGCACAGGCTGGCCCGATCGCATCAGATCTCGGAAACGAAGCAGGGTTGGCCCTGGTTCGTACTTGGACGGGAGACCGCCAAGGAAGACGAGGGTCACCACGCAGAGGCAGGCAATGGCAAACCACCTCTGAAACGTCTCTTGCCTTGAAAACCCCACGGAGTCACCATAAGTCAGTTGTGACTTGATGGGAGTTTACATGCACGGATGCAGAGTGCTGGCCAAGAAAAACAATGCTAATCGTGTATAAATAATGGCTTTGTATATGTATGCACAGTAGGTAGGTCTAGCTTGCAGTGATTTCCCAGCTATATCTTGGCACATTATGTAGTAGAGATGAAAAGAGGAGCCCTGAACTTTATGGTGGAGCTTCAGCCTGTCCCTTCTTTTGTGATTTCGATGCTTTCCCCCCCAAGCTGCTCAGCAAATATTACAAAGCATTAAACGATTCGATTAAAACGTATTTGGAAAGTCACCGGGTGTATGTTGGCTTTAAAATGAGATATTTTGATTGAAGTACTTCTTCACCCAAATGAGAATTAACATGTGGAATTCACTGCCACAGGCATAGAAAACTTCAAGGGGTGGACTGGGTGAATATATGGAGCTGAGGTCCATCTGTGGCTATTAGCCACAAAGTGTAGATGGAACCCTCTATCTGGAGCAGTGATGCTCTGTATTCTTGGTGCTTGGGGGCCCACAGTGGGAGGGCTTCTGGAGTTCTGGCCCCACTAGTGGACCTCCTGATGGCACCTGTGTTTTGGCCGCTGTGTGACACAGAGTGATGGACTGGATGGGCCACTGGCCTCATCCAACATGGCTTCTTTTTATGTTCTTAACTGTTTTTATGCTTTGCCATCTTTTACTCCCTTGTTGTAACGTGACTTCAGCAGCACCCTTAGGTGGAAGAGCAATCATACACATTTCCCCATTTTTAAAATTAAGTCAATATTCCCATTCATAGATTGTATGTATCAGTGTTTCCCTATCTCAAGGGTATCACAATGTGTGTGTGGGGTGGGGTGGGGTGGGGGATAGATGCTTTTATGGGAAACTGAGAAGCCAAGAGGGCATTCGAAAAATGTAGAGGCATAGGAATAACCGAGAGAAGGCTTCACCTCAAACTTCTTCAGCTCCTCTTTGGCATTTGTGTAGGTAACTTCTGAAGAGTTTGGACAGGCTGCTGTCCGCTCCGCCGTCTTCAGCCAGTCTTCAAAGCGAGAGTAGTCGTCTAAAAACTTCTGCCACAATCTCCAGGTCTCCTCGATCCTGGGGGAGAAACAAGCAGCTATAGGCTCAGCACAAACGTATTTCCCCACTTTCGGCAAAATGCATTTACTATTTTGCACCCTGGTCACCCAGCCGAACAAATCTTAGGACCTGTTCACACGGAGGATTTGCCACGGGAGAGCGACGAGTGCATGGCGGATTATCCGGCTGCGATCACACCGCAACATCTGGGAAGTGGAGCGCAGCCGTGGCATACCGCTGAAAATGTGGGATTAAAAACTACCTGCTCGGAGGTACTAGCAACCGGTTTGCCACGGGCTGCCTCTGGAGTCCCTCGGTGTGATTGTGCCGGCCGCGGCTTTTCCCTCCAGCCCCTTGTTGATGCGTAGTCGCGGAGGGAAGGAACCGTAGCGTGCTGCCGACGCGTGGGATCGTGTTATGCCGGCTCTAATTGCGGCGGTGCAAAAAGCCCCCTCATGGATCACTGCCTTGTCGTGGCGAGGGGGCTTGCATGGTTCGATGAGGCTGTGGGCTATGCCGTGGAGGGCCACCCAAGACGGACAGGCCACAGCAGAGAACTCAGACCAAGCGTGATCCCCTGGAGAAGGAAATGGCAACCCACTCCAGTATTTTTGCCAAGAAAACCCCATGGCCAGTATCAAATATTGAGCAACCTTCAGAGGACGGCGGAAGACAGGAAGGCCTGGCGTGATCTTGTCCATGGGGTCACGAAGAGTCGGACTCGACTGTGACTGAACAACAACAAAAAGCCCCCCCTCCCTCCCGCGTTATCCGGCCTGTGTGACCAGGGCCTTAGTCTATCAATTGTAACATTCTGCAAACCACATATGTTATGCAAAAAAAGCAGTGTTCTGCAGCTCACACAGAACATACAAATGAAACACATTTGCAGTTGTCTATACTATACATGCCCTGATCTGGATGACCCAGGTCACATTCATCACATGCAACAAGAAAGAGAAGGGCCCTCACTTCATTCGCCTCTCCATAGACATAGCGCAGATGTTCCTCCAGCGGCGATCCAAACTCCTGGTGGTCTGCTGGATGGAGTCACATTCAGTCTCATTGGCACAGGCATCAGAATCATGCAGCAAAACCTCGCAGATGTTGAACACTGATTCGACACCAGCGCTGTGCTGCTCTATGTCACGCTGGAGATCCTGAAACGTTGAAAAAACAACAAGGCACGCAAAAGGGTGGTCACAACTCAGGACCAGAAAGAACTTCCCAGAGAGCCTTGGAGCTGAGCTATCAGAACTTAAGGGAAGTCATGTTGGATCAGGCAGTCCACCAGCAGGGCCAGAAATCCAGAAGCCATATGTTTATCTAGTCCCTTCATAAGAACATAAGAGAAGCCATGTTGGATCAGGCCAATGGGCCCATCCAGTCCAACACTTTGTGTCACACAGTGGCCAAAATCCAGGTGCCCTCAGGAGGTCCACCAGCGGGGCCAGAACTCCAGAAGCCCTCCCACTGTTCCCCCCAAGCACTAAGAGTACAGAGCATCACTGCCCCCAACAGGGTGTTCCATCTATATATTGTGGTTAATAACCAGTGATGGACTTTTGCTCCATGTTTATCTAATCGCCTCTTGAAGCTGTCTATGGTTATAGCTGCCACCACTTCCTGCGGCAGTAAATTCTGTGTGCTGTACAATCAGCAGACCATATGTGATTCTATCGTTAAGTCTGCACATATTCAAACTTTAGGTATGGGGGAAACCAAACCCTTGAAGGCTTAGCTGGATAACAAAAACTTGCCCCAAATATGAAGTCCTTCTGCTCAAGTCCTGTTGAAATGACAGCACAAGAATCATAGAATCATAGAGTTGGAAGGGACCTCCAGGGTCATCTAGTTCAACCCCCTGCACAATGCAGGAATTTCACAACTACATCCCCCCATACCCTGTTCCATGCCCAGAAGATGGCAAAAAAACCCTCCAGGATCCCTGGCCAAACTGGCCTGGAGAAAACTGCTTCCTGATCCCAAAGTGGCGATCGGCATTTCCCTGGGCGGGTAAGAAAGGGTCACGAGAACTAAGCACTGAGGCAACCCTTCCTGCCCTCCCTCTCATGGTCTCATTATACACCTTGTATAATGTCCCATTCATTTCAACAAGGAGAACGTTCTGGTAGATTTTGGTCCCTATCAGTTTCAGTGGTCTTTCACAGACCTTCCGTACATTATAGCCAACCAGAAAGGATAGACAGCAATAAGGGCATCATTTTGCCCTGTGAAGCATTCAGTGAAATTCAGAATCTTACTGGCTGATTCAACCTACTCAACTGCTGCAGTCGTTTTCAGTACCCCTTCTTTGGCTGCCCTTTCTCCATCTGAGGCTAGATGGATGGCGACCTGAGAAAAGGCATTCTTGGTTGTGGCACCAAAATTACCGAATCCCCTCCACAGGGCAATTAATCTGTCCCATTCAATCACTGTCTTCTGCCAGCAGCGGAAAAATTGTGTGTTTTGTTTGGCGTTCCCTCTCTGAACTTCCTTCCTGTTTCTATGTCTTGCGTAATGGTGTTTGTGTGTGTGTGTAATTGTTTTTTTCTGTTTGTTTAATTGTTGTTTTTCACTGTTCTGAAGATATTGTGTTTTTAAAAAGCTTGTTCTAATGGTTTTGAGTGTTCGTCACCCTTGGGACCCTACGTTGGGTGGAAAGGTGGTATAAAAATGTTAAACAACAACAACAATAATAAACAAAAAAGGTAAAGGTAAAGGTTTCCCTTGCTCGAAAGCCAGTCGAATCCGACTCTAGGGGGCGATGTTCATCTCTGTTTCCAAACCGAAGAGACAGCGTTGTCCGAAGACTTTTCTGTGGTCATGTGGCCGGCATGACTAAATGCCGAGGTGCACGGAATGCTGTTACCTTCCCACCGAAGCGGTACCTGTTTATCTACTTGCAGTTTCTTGCTTTCGAACTGCTAGGTTGGCAGGAGCTGGGACCAGAGACGGGAGCTCACTCCGTCACTTGGGTCTCGAACTGCCGAGCTACCGACCTTCCGGTCTGCAGCTCAGCATCTTAACCTCTGAGCCACCATGGCCTCATAATAAGCATACCTAAGCCCTAAAAGGTCTATGCATCTCCTAGTGCTATGCGTGGTGAGAAATCTGGACTCGAACTCATAGCCTTGGGGACAAGCTACTGAGAACAGAACCTTGTGGCTCAGATTTATATGAAACTCTTTCTGCCTGTATGAGTGTTTATTGTTTTAATTGACTGTAATGTGATTTTATCGTAACGAGTCTTAGACACGGCTTCTTGTGACCTGCCCCGAGCCCACTTTGGGGAGGGTGGGATAAAAAATCCTCAAAAATAAATAAACAAACATTGTAACTAATCGACTCCTTGACAAAGTCAGTCTGATTCTGGTGGGACCAACTCAGCCACTGTTGGAAATGTCAGTTTTACAGCTGAAGAGGAGAACTTCTTGAAGGCCCCTGACCTCACACGGCATTCTCTGTGGCATTCAGAGAAACTACAGGCAAAAGCAGAAGCAAGCAAGCGTAAAGGCGGCTTGTTATCCACCTGTTCCTTTCAGATTGTCTATTATTCCCCCCCCCCCACACACACACCTGCTGTTCTGCAAGTCTCTTCTGTATCTCCTGATCGTTGCAGATGTCGTAGACAACGGGCTTAGAGAGCTCGGACTCGATGCGAGCCAGCCAGGTGCGCAGGTTGCTCATGTTTTTGTCCAGCTGCTGTATGAAAGCAAATGTCTCCTTCAGTTTCTTCACCCTGTGTAAGACGGGAAAGCAAGATGGCTATAAAATGTGTTAAGACCGGGAATCGTATTCAAAGGGACTTGAATATCGAGTTGGACTGCTGATCCGCCAAGCTTGCCTGCTACAATCTGCTCCCTTTGGAGACACGTCTCCCGTGACTCTGCCAGAAGTCTCCCAGTCCCGTTACTTCAGATCTTCTTAACCAGAGAGACTCAGACCTCAACCTAAGAAGGCCTTCTGCTTTGCAGGCTAGGGGCACTTTCACAGAGCTAGATGGAGGAAGAGATAATTTGCTTCCACATCTGAAGACACCTTAACTATCTTAATACAGTGCATAAACAGCCTCTACTCCACACTTTCCCCACTCTGCTGGACCTTCCCTGCTGATCCATACATTTATTACCTTTTGGTTAGATTACAGCGACCCGCAAAGTTAAGAATATAAGAAGAGCCCTGCTGGTTCAGACCAATGGTCCATCTAGCCCAGCGTCCTGTCTCAGTGGCCAACCAGTTCCTCTAGACAGCCAACAACAGGGCATAGAGGTCAAGGCCTTCCCCTGAAGTTGCTCCCTGGCTCTGGGATTCAGAGGTTTAGTGCCTTTGAATGTGGAGGTCCCCCTCAGTCACCAGGGCTAGTAGCCATTGATAGACTCCATGAATCTATCTATAACAACATCAGAAGAGCCCTGCTGGATCAGACCAGTGGTCCATCTAGTCCAGCATCCTGTTTCCCACAATGGCCAACCAGTTCCTCTGGAGGGCCAACAACAGTGCATAGAGGCCCAGGCCTTTGTTAGAACATCAGAAGAACCCTGCTGGATCAGACCAGTGGTCCATCTAGTCCAGCACCCCTTCTCACACAGGGGCCAACCAGTTCCTCTGGAGGGCCAACAACAGGGCATAGAGGCCAATTATCTTGAGACCTTTTGCAAAACCTGGCGGCCCACCTTTTAACAAAAATGCCACGATGTGAACCATGTCATGCCTACCACAAAACACCAACTCTCTCCCCCAGGGAGATTCATCTGTCCCCTTCTGTTGACATCTTCTGTCAGTGGGTGAAGACTTTATTGTTTTGCCTGGTATTCCCTCAAGGATCCCTCCTTCTTAGCCAATGTTTTAATAGCTGCTCTTATGTTCTGTATGTATTTTAACTCTGTTTTAATTATTTTAATGTGTTTGTTGGGGGGGCGTGATTTTAATGGGCTTAAATTGTGATTTTATCATGTATGTTTTAAATCGTTAGCCACCTTGGTGGCCCTTGTAAAGGCAGACAGGTGGGATGTAAATTTTGTTCATAACAACAATAATAATTTTAGCTCAATACTTGAAACACTAACTGAGGCAACGTGCGTTTTCTTCTGAATACAACTTGGCTGAAATTACTTTTTAGCTATTCTTAAATAGTGATAGCTGCTGTAATTGCATTCTTTTTTTTTTGTCTTGAGTGAACTGTACAGATTTGAAGAAGAGTTGGGTTTATACCCCGCCTTTCACTCAGAGTCTCAGAGCAGCTTACAATCACCTTCCCTTCTCCCCACAACAGACACCCTGGGAGGGAGGTGGGGCTGAGAGAGCTCTGAGAGAATTGCTCTGAGAGAACTGTGACTGACCCAAGGTTACCCAGCTGGCTGCATGTGGAGGAGTGGAGAATCAAACCCAGTTCTCCCAGTTTAGAGTCTGCCACTCTTAGCCACTACTCCAAACTGGCTCTCTTTGTTTGTTTGGTTCCTTCTGTTAGTAACATTTCAGGCCTATTGTTAAATATATTTTGTGGTGAACCTGTATTTATACAATAATAACTTTTCCCCCAAAAAAAACAAACAATCCCAGACTTAGTTGCCTGTGCATCTCTAAGGTCCATGCAAGGCTCTGGTTCTTACCTTTACAGCCCTGGGACCCACCTACTTGGGCCAACACCTCTCCTTGTATACCCCCAACATAGGTCATCAGACAGATATCTATTGATTGTTTCAACAACCCATCAAGTTCAGAACTCATTCTGTCACTAAGGTGGTCTCAACACTGCTACAGGAAGTAGTCGTATTATGGCTGTTTGCATGGATCGAAATGGTTTTATGGTTTAACTGACAGAGCGGAAACAGGAAGAAGGAGGGAAGAAAGGAAAGGGAGAGGCGAGGATGATAGTGGATGAGAAAGTATAAATGGAATTACCCAGATTTGAACTTTGTTTCTGCAGCTAAGCATTGTGGGTAAGAGTGCCCAAATTCATGACTAGGTAGCAGCATTCCCTTTGCCCCGTGGGGCATCATTTATACAGCAGAAGATTCAAACTGTAGCTCAGGTTGCAAATAGCTTATAAAAGGTAAAGGTAAAGGTTCCTTTGCTTGAAAGCCAGTTGCGGTGCTCATCTCCATTTCAAAGCCGAAGAGCCAGCGCTGTCCGAAGACATTTCCGTGGTCATGTGGCCGGCGTGACTAAACACCGAGGCGCACGGAACGCTGTCACCTTCCCACCGAAGTGGTCCCTATTTATCTACTTGCCATTTCTTGCTTTCGAACGGCTAGGTTGGCAGGAGCTGGAACTAGAGACGGGAGCTCACTCCGTCATGCGGCACACTCGGGTCTCGAACGGCTGAACTACCGACCTTCCACAGCCTGCAGTTCAGCGTCTTAACCCCTTGAGCCACCGCAGCTCCTTAAATTGTTATAGCTTATACTCTTTCCTAAAAATATGGAATCCCTTCTGCTTTTGCTATCAAATCACAGCTGACTTATGGCAACCCTGTAGGGTTCTGAAGACAAGAGACATTCAGAGGCAGTTTGCTATTGCCTGCTTATGCATGGCGACCCTGGACTTCCTTGGTGGTCTCCCATCCATATATTAACCAGGGCTGACCCTGCTTAGCTCCCAAGGTCTGACAAGATCAGGCTAGCCTGGGCTATCCAGGTCAGGGTGGAGAGTCCCAACACTGCCATATAAATAGCTCCCTGTAGTTGAAAAGGGTCATTAGCATCAAGGGCAACTGCAGGCCACATGCAAGACCCAGCATGGTGCTTCCAGTCTGCTGGGCTTATTTTATAATGCTAATTATCTTTGCAGACGGGACCCAACCTAATTAACTAATTTGTTGCATAGGCTGTTTGCCTTTTCGTCAACCCCCTCCCTGGTCAATCACTCGCCCCAAGAAAAACAACCCAGTGATGCCGGAAAACCCCTTTCAGGAAGCCGAGTGCAGCTCAGCCCAAAGTTTCTTAGGATCTCCGGAGTCAAACGGATGAGAAACATTTCAAAGCCCACCCAGATTGCACCAAGGGTCAAAACAAGATATGACCAAGGAGATAATGTGATCAGGATTTCCCATAGGTTTTAAGAGGATTAAATGTATCTGTAGGGGCCCATGTTCCGGACCAGGGTTGTGGTAATGGCTGAAGGGTTGTTTTTTTGGTAAACGAAACCCCCTTATCCTCCTGCACAATTTCCCATGCAAACAGACCCCCTTCCCCAGCTACTATTAGATTCATGAGGAGAACCTACATGCACCAAGATGGGTAGCCATTTCAGTCTGTCTGTAGCAGCGGAAAAGAGCAAGGGTCCAGTAACACCTTAAAGACTAACAAAATTTGTGGCAGGGGAGGAGCTTTCGTTAGTCACTGCTCACTTCCAAGATGGGTAGAAGTAGAAAAGAGCAAGAGTCCAGTAGCACCATAAAGACTAAGGGAATTTGTGGCAGGGTAGGTACACTCTGTGAATACTATTATTGAGCATTTTGGCTTCCTTTTTTTTTTTTTTTAAATGGTGCACTTGTTTCAAACCACTTAAGTTTTCCCTCCCTTTACATATGTTTGTGTCTACGCCACTAAAAACTTTCTGTTACAAGAAAGTTTGTAAACCATGCATACTTGTACAGATATTATCCCTGATGCACAGCTTGGGTTTCTTTGATGCAGCATTTTGGGCATGAAGCATAGAAGTGATAGATGTACAACTGTACTTTTCCTCCAAGGTTGAACATACATTTTGTTTATGCAGAAGGTCATTAGTTAATGGGTCTCAGGTAATAGTTGCAGGGACAGCCCTTTGTCTACCTAGCACCTTGGAGAGCGCTTGCCAATCAGATTAGACATCGCTGAACTAGATGGACCAATCATTTGGCTCTGCGTAAGGCAGGTTTGTGTCACTTTGTCCTTACAGGTTCATCTTTTAAGTGCTCTCTGACACAATGGGAGAAGAAGAAGTAGATATATGGGGAACAATACCATGGTAGCATATGGCTGTGTGCCCAATCCAGCAGAAACCTCTAGATCCTGTCCTCTGTAAATGGGAAGGGGGTTGTGGCTCAGAGGTAGAGCATCTGCTTGGCATGCAGGGCCTCCCAGGTTCAATCCCCGGCATCTCCAGTTAAAAGGATCAGGCAGCAGGTGATGTGAAAGACCTCCGCCTGAGACCCTGGAGAGCTGCTGCCAGTCTGGGCAGACAATACTGACCTTGATGGACCAAGAGTATGATTTAGCATAAAGTGTCATATGTACATGCATGAAGGATAAGGAAAATGGTGCAGACAGTATTTTAGCCCAGCTATTCAGCCAGAAATAAAAATTAATGGAAAGGCAGCAGGACGAAAGACAGGCGTTTATTGTTAAACTTAATTAAAATTAGAATTTAGTGCCAGCGTTCTGGAACTTGCAGCCCTTTTAAAGGTACCAATATTTTAAATGCTTTTAAAGGTCATTACATCAATACTACTTGTATTTAACAACGCATTGCCTCCGATTGACTAACAAGGAATCTCGTAGGCCCCCTGAACAAAAATTCACCACGATCGCCCCACCTCCTTGCATTGAATGATCAGGTGCATGGGGAATGACAGCAAACTATTATGTGTGAAAAGGCTACCGCATGCTTTTCTGCTGTTTAAAAAACAACAACCGTGGTTAAGTGTAAACACCATCATAGAAAATGTATGCTTTTACTTCAATGGGACGATAATGAAAAGGAATAGGCGTTTATATTTCAGCACAAGCATCATCTCAGCTGAAGTGAATACAGTAT